CTTTCCACAGAACAACTGTGTCAACTCTTGAAACTGTGCCTGCAGTCAACCTACTTCACATATGGGGAGCAATATTATAGGCAGAAACATGGGTGTGCTATGGGGTCTCCAGTTTCTCCTATTGTTGCCAACCTGTATATGGAGGAGGTAGAAAAGAGAGCCTTGACGTCCTTTTCAGGGACACCACCAAGTCATTGGTTCAGGTATGTTGACGACACCTGGGTTAAAATCAAATCTCAGGAAGTCCAACATTTTACTGACCACATCAACTCTGTGGATAAATACATCAAGTTCACACGAGAAGATGGAAAAAATGGCAGGTTGGCTTTCTTGGACTGTGAGGTCTCAGTCTCTGATAGAGGACATTTGCAAACTGAGGTGTACCGCAAACCCACCCACACAGACCAGTATTTGCAGTTTGACTCCCATCACCCTTTGGAGCACAAGTTAGGAGTCATCAGGACTCTGTATCACAGAGCAGACAGCGTCCCCACTAGCTCAGGAGCCAGGCAGAAGGAGAAATCCCACACAAGACAGGCTCTAGAGCAATGTGGATATCCTAACTGGGCCTTCCTGAAAGCAGAGCAGAAACCCAAACAGGACTCCAGTCAGCCATCAGGTGAAAAGGAGGAACCCAGACCCAGACCAGTGGTCATTCCATATGTTGAGGGAGTATCAGAGAAACTGAGACGTTTATTTTCTAAACATAACGTCCCAGTGGCTTTTAAACCCCAAAATACATTAAAGACTGGTTCATCCCAAAGATCCAGTCCCCCGGCACAAACAGAGCAATGTTGTGTATGCTGTTCAGTGTCAGGAGGGTGATCAGTCTTACATCGGGGAAACTAAACAGCCACTGGCCAAAAGGATGGACCAGCACAGAAGACCAACATCATCAGACCAGGATTCTGCGGTCTACACTCATCTCCAGGCCAGAGGTCACTCTTTCAGGGATGAAGATGTGCACATCCTGGACAGAGAGGAACGATGGTTTGAGAGAGGAGTAAAGGAGGCCATCTTTGTGAAAAGAAACCGTCCATCATTAAACAGGGGTGGAGCCTCCAGGTTCAACTGTCCCCCTCTTACAATGCTGTGATTGCTAGTATCACTCAGCCCTCTGTGAACAGTAAACAGCCATCAGGTGCTAATGATCCATTGTTAGGCTGATGGTCCTTCTTGAGCATGTGATCAGCTGGTTTTGGTTGTCAGCAGCAAACTGGTTGATCCACTCTGAGAAGGTGCTATTTAAGAGACTGAGCTGAATACAGCTCCTCAGACTGAGGAAGTCCTCAGGATGATAGACAAAACGTTTCTACATTTTGTTTTTAATGTCCAGAGGACCAGATTGAACTTTTTTAGATTTTTCTACCTGCATTATTGAGCATGCATCAGGATACAACCAAATACAGTTTCAAAGCATTAAATTAATTCAGATTCAGTTTGTGATGGCTCAAGTTTCTGCCCATACTATTCTGCTGGCCTTGAGTTTAAGGGAGAGATTTTATGGTTATTTTAATTACAATGTTTAATGTTATTGTTGTTAAAGTTTTTTTTGGCCAGGGCACTTTTGTAGTTTAGATTTTTACTTTAATGAGTTTTCCTGGTAAAATAAAGCATTATTAATTAACTTCTGTGTTCTGGTTTTAGATTTTAGCGTCTGCTTGGCTAATTTTACTGATGCCAAGGCTTCAGCTGTTACCTTCAAAATTAAAGCACTAGTAGTAGCTGGTTTCCAAATTAAAGCAGAACCTTCTTAAATTGACCAAGTCAGTTATTTGGTTGACTCTGGATCTTTACTGATTTCTTAGGTCCTATAATTAAAAAACCCATCCCCACAGCATGATGCAGCCTCCACCATGCTGCACTGTAAGAAGTTGTGATAACAGCAGTTAGTGTTTTAATTTTAGGACAACATTTTGAATATATTTTCTTCTGGCCAGGTCAGACCCTCCTATGTCCAAGAAATTTATTTTTTGTTTAACTTTTTTTAATTAGTGAAATGAGATGTTTAATTTTCATAGAGCTCAGTTTGGAGCACATCTATGGACTGCCAGCTTTTCATTCAACTTTATACAAGTTGAGACTCGAGGACTCATTTACATGAGATCTGTTTGGAACAAAGAAGGATGACAACAGTAGACAATCATAAAATAAAGCATATAAACTGAAGAAATAAATGGAAAAATTTATATTAAAGAACAAAACAAAAACAGCTAGATTATAAGGTGAATGTAGAAAACTAAAACAGGAACATGTCTGCATTGGTCCCTGCCAGGAGTCCAACAGATTCTTGAAGCCACTTAGAGAGGTCAAAGGTCGAGAGCTTCGGGTCTTTTTACAAGATATTCCAGGAAACAGGAGCGGAGCAGGAGAAGGTCCTTTTGTCTAGTTCAGTCCTCACTGAGGGAACACTGCAGGTAATGATGTCCTGAGAGCGCACGCTGTAGCTGCACTCACACAGAGACATGTAGGAGGAGATGTATGAAGGCAGCAGACCAGGAAGTGATTTAAAGATGAAGATGTACCAGTGGGAGAGTCTGTGTGAAGTTAATGGTGACCAGTTAACCAGTGAATACTGGGTGCAGTGGTGGGTACGATAATCACAATCAGTTATGAATCTTAGTGCACCATGATAGACAGCATCCAACATCTGCAGCATCCAACATCTGCAGCATCCAACATCTGCAGGGTTCTTGTAGGAGCGTTCATGTAAATAATGTCACCGTAATCAACGGAGGGAAGGAAAGTCACAGATACAAGGTGTTTCCTAACATTCAGAGTTAGACAGGATTTGTTTCTGAAAAAGAAACCCAGTTTAACTTTCAGTTTCTTTACCAAGTTTTCCACATGGAGCTTAAAAGAGAGATGTGAGTCGACCAAGATACCCAAATATTTATAGGAATCAACAAACTCAATAGGAACACCATTCGAAGATAACATTTGAGGAAAAACTGCTGGGACCGACTTCCTGTTTGAAAAAAGCATCCCTTTGGTTTTGTCGGGATTTAGGACAAGTTTGAGGCGAAACAAATCAGACTGGACGATGTCAAATGCGGATTGCAAAAGCTGGAAAACCTTAGCAACTGTTTTAACTCGACAATAAACAACTGTGTCATCAGCATAGAAATGTATGGATGCATCAGGAATGCTCTGACCTACATTACCTATGTAGATTGTAAAGAGGGTGGGTCCTAAGACTGAGCCTTGTGGTACACCATTGTTAGTTAGATAACTGGAAGAATTACCATTATGTTGAACACATTGCCTCCGATCTGAAAGATAGTTAGAGAACCAACCAATGATCTGAGAAACCAGTTTCTGAGAGTTTATGACCCAAGATGTTCTGATCCACAGTGTCAGAATCTTTAGACAGGTCTAAGAAAAGTGCAGCACAATAATCCTTAGCATCCAGTGCTTCAACAACGTCATTAAGAACCTTCAGTGAAGCAGTGGTTGTGCTGTGTTGTTTCCTGAAACCAGATTGATGCTTTAGCTGTGGAGTTTTAAAAATTCTTCAGGTCTGTGTTTGGCCTACATATTAATGGTTTGATTAATGGTATTTTTGCCTGGCCCGTGGACATATCAGGTCGCTGTGGAAATCATTTTTAGGCTTTCTTCTTTTCAGTCCACCTTTCTTTGTCCTGCTTCTCCTGCCTTGTTTTTAGGTTAGACTTAGTGATAATCTTATGATAATAATCCTTGTTTCTTATCTGTGTGTAAATATGTCTTGGTTAGGACCAGTTCCTCAAGGCTGCGCCGGTATCAGGGGGTGTTGGGGAGTTCCTGATGAGAAAGATGGGCTGGAGGACAGGAGAAGGTCTCGGGAGAAACCGGGAGGGTACGGTGGAACCGATCGTCATTGACTTCAAGGTGGACAGAAAAGGTTTGTGATCAAAGAACACTGAAGCAGTTGACACTGAACAAGTGGTGAGAATCAGTGGCGTTAATGGAAGCGTGGTGATTTTAATGTTTCAGGTCTGGTTGCAGAAGGAGAAAAGCCCCAGAAGCAAACAGGAGGACTGGTTGTAACCAAAGACCTAATGGGTAACAGATTCACAATGAACATGTTTTCTGTGCTCTTGGAATGGTTAAAGTTGTGAGTCCACTCTGTAAAACTGAAGGTTCTGGATAGAACCGTGGACTGGTGGTTTATAGATGACCTGTCCGTTCATGCACACCATTACTTGTTTGGACACAAAGAGCTAAGAGTATCAATAAGCCTCCGTTTATTTTGGTCCCACCCTCTGTACATTTAAATATGACTGGTTAATCTTCCTTTCAATTGCTAAACAAACTGATTCTGCAGAGCCTTTGACTCAGTTACTGTAATTGCTGGTCTAAAGAGCGCACCCTAAAACAAAATAAAAAAACTATTTTAGCTGCGGGTGTTCACATTGTAAAATGAGATATTACACAGAAAGATGTCACACAGAAAGATTTTATACAATTTTAATTTAATGCATACTAGTAACATACACAAATACGTACTGTAAATGTTTTTTTCTGAACAGTGCCTTTAACACTGGGGAGGAGTCAGTTTTTCCCCCATATTTATAACCCAATTTTTGGCTGAGATCTGACGATTTCATTCATTCTGACATGGAAAATATTGAACACTACCATTTTCAGCCACTAGGGGGCCCTCAACTAATATGGCAAGCCAAGTGTCTCATTAATAGGTGAAAGTGGCTATTAATGAGACACTTGGCTTGCCATACAAAGCCACCTTCGTCTCGCTCCCTAACTCCTGAAGCAAACGTCAAATCAGCTGCATTTCGCCTGGGCAGCGCGGCGAAATGCAGCTGATTTGACCGTCAAGTGTGTTTATTAAGGAAAAGTTAAACTGAGACACACCTTTGCTGTAATGTCGAGCAAACAGATAATTGTTTTTGTGTTAATTTTCGTAAATTCTTGTTAAAGTCCTCCCGTGCACGCTCCCGCGGCCGCCATTGGGCAGCCATTCGATTTTTGGCACAACACCGGCCCACATTTCCGGGTTGTCATCGATGACGCGTAACAAACATGACGCGTCATCGATGACGCATAATAGATGCGACTTGTACGGCGAAGCAACGTATTTGTTTTTTTCCACTTTATTAGACATATTTGGACTGATGCGACTTGTACGGCGCTGCGACGTGATCGGCTGCAAGTAAGGTAATAATACAGTAGCCTACCAGGAAGTCATTGATCATGATGTCCTCCTGCTCCGTGGGGCAAAAAGTGCTCTGTGAGCATGTGATACTCTCAAGCTCTGCACACGCAGGGGAATCCCCCTCACGGTGGAGGGGGTATTCCCCCCTACCCCTTTTTCTTCTCCCCTCCCAGTTTCATTGGTTCGACTGTGACCTGTTCAGTAATTTCATTGTTTTTTGTTACATTTATTTATACAGATAGTCTTATTGAGTCACAAGGAAGCCCCGCCCCCAAAAGAGACGTGTATTGGGCAGCTATGTGTGCGCCCGGGTGTGACGAAGCTAAATGTTTTTGGCGGCAGGAAGCTTGTTAGCCCATCAAAATAAAAACTCCATAAATTTGCTGCAGCGTTGTCTAAACCGCGGGGTTCAAAGCCTGTGAAAAAAGTAGTGGCTTATAGAGCGGAAAGTACAGTACCTTTTGTCCTACGCACCAAGAAAGAACCTTTGAAGCGTTCCGCCTGGAAAATGAAAAAGAACCTGATTGGATAACCAGGTTTGCATGAATTAAAGACAGCTTCTTGTTCAAAGTACGTAGTTTTCAGAAAATAGGAAAAGTAATGAAAAAATGCATAAAAATTTATTTAATACCTCACCCAAATCTGGCTCAGCCTGGAATGGAGTCCAAATCTCTCTTCAAGGCCCCTTAAAATTCTTGTTACATGATTTTTGTTGCTTCTGCAACTACAGAAGTCACAGTCCTATGGCCTTTCTGAGTCAGATGCCTCTGGAGTCTTCCAGGTCTACCAGGCCCTAAAAGAGTCCTACATGTTGATGGTCTCATCACTGCTCATGTACACAGTCCTCTGGTTGCTGCCATGACAGGCACCAGTGACATTCTGGCTACAGCCAAGTGCTTTTGAATTTCCCACACATGACGGACGCCTCTGCCTGGGCAGTTTGAAGTAGAAGAAAGTCCAGCCTTTCTCCAAAAGAGGGCTTCAGAGCTCGAGCTGTGTGTAGAGTCAAGCCCAGCTATGTAGTTGTTAAGCTCTTGCTCCTTACCTGCCATTCAGATGACTTTCCTGTTTCTAGACCAGTTTATGCTAACAGGCCTGTGCACACCCAGGGCTCTGCCTTTGCCTGCCATTCGGTTTACGTACCACTCAACCTTGAAGACCTTCCTTGCAGGTGGTCATTGGAAGGCGGCTTCCTGTGGTTTCAGGCGTGGCCTGGACAAGCAGGAGCCAAAGTTTGACCGTTAGAACTAGGCCTGTCATGATAACCAATAAATCAATTGATCGCATGATAAATGAAAATTGTTGACCTCATTTTCATTTATCGACTTTATCGTTTCTTTGTGTCTCTGTCTTTCTTCTGAATGACAAAAGGCCCAACTCTGGTGCTCGTCACTGATCCCTCCCTTTCTCTTTAAAATCCTTTTTAATCGTCAAAAATCGTGTTTTTGGATCGTTAAAAGCAGCTAAGCTGAGAAGCTAAGCTACGAGCTAAGCTATCAGGCCGACCTCGAGAAAAAAAAAACTCTTGAAGCTCCAAAATTCACGGTTGAAACCCGTGCCTTTGCGTAAAAACTTGTTTTTCTCTTCAAAAAGAAGCTGAGAACTTGTTTACTAATTTTTTATTAAAAGCTTTGTTTGAAAAATGCTAAAGAGCTCAAACCACACCGAGCGTCAGCCATTTCGAGAACCGACATAAAGGAATGAGAGACAGCCCATGTCACGTCAAGTGGCCTCCCTCCCATTTTTCTTAAAGACGCACTCTGCTCGCTCCCTCACTGACCATCCTTGGGTTCAAACGGTCTTATACTGCCATCTGGTGGTCAACAAAGGTACTACTTCCAAACAAATTAACCAACATTTCTTCTTAAATTTGACATTACTAATTATTGTCAAATTTCAAACAATATTATCGTTTATCACAATCATTTCTGAGACGATTGTCTGCCCAGTAAAATTTGTTATCCTGACAGGCCTAGTTAAAACCCCCTTTTCCAGGCAAGGTTGCCCATTGCATGTGTTCTTGACCCCTCCATGGGGGCCAGTTTTCCATGGGAGACCCTACCAACATAGCTCTCTAGGGTCATGGGGTACTCAAACTTCTCCACCACTTTAAGGTGGCAATTTTGTGAAGTAGTTCTTTATGATTTATACAAATATTATAAATAAAACCTAATTAATTTTAGTGCTTGCACAATGTTCCCGCTCTGATTTTGTCCCTATTCATTTTCACGCAAGCTTTAAACCAAGCTTTGAAATCCAACAATGTTCAGTCAGGTCATCTGGACAGTTTCTTATTTATTTATTTTGCTGAGACGTTTCTTCTTTCATCCAAAGGACTTCTTCAGTCCAAGGAGGCAGAAACTCGAGTCCCACAAATATCACACTCCCATAGTGGAAAAAAAAACAGTTTGCTGGTGATAAGATGGTGGGATTCCAGTTTGTTTGTGCCTCCTCGGACTGAAGAAGTCCTTCGGATGAAGGACGACATGTCAGAAGAAATTCAATTCAGTTTATTTATAAAGAACTAAATCACAACAAAGTTGTCTCAGGGACTTTACAGGAACATTCACATAAAAGTCAGTTAGTAAAGTTCTCTATCTAAGGAATCCAGCAGACAAGTTGAATCTTGGCTTCGTTGCAGTCTCCCATCCTGAGCAAGCACAGTGGAGACAGTGGGAAGAAAAACTCCCTTTAACAAGAAGAAACCTCCAGCAGAACCAGCTCAGGACAAGAGGCCATCTGCTTTGACCGGCTGGTTGAGAGGACAGGAAGGAGAGACAGACGAACACAGAATGACAGGTCCAGGTATAGGTCCAGGTCCAGGTATAGGTCCAGGTCCAGATATAGGTCCAGGTATAGGTCCAGGTCCAG